GCCATAGAAACATCTTCATGAAGAAGACCACCTCTATATTTGCTGCAATAATTACACATTCATGCTCAGCCAATATGTGTGAAAAAATTGCTGTATTAACATGAAAAAGTTTGTTACTGGGCTGCCTTCAAATTTTAAGGTAATTAAACGTCTAATAGTAAGTTACCAAAACAAGCATCTGTGTGTTCTGTTATTCAGTGTCTTAAGTTCTGACATTCAGTAAGCTCATTTTAAGGCAGCCTGCTATGATATGATACTGAGATACAAGATACAACTTTTTTGAGTTGAAACACCGTATTGTACTAGCAATCGAGTCATCTATCAGTTATTTTGGTAGTTAATTGAGTGATCAGTAGGGATCCACAGTGAAATTGGTATTGTATCTTCATTAGACAGATGATTAGATTTAACTGTCATTTTAAATCAGTATTTGTCAAATGCTAGTACTTAGTGATGCTATGCTAAAATGTTCATATTCATTTTACTGTTTGAAGCCCTCTACAAATCAGTGTTGTATTTCTCTGCAGTGCTAATTCAGGTGGATTTAGTCACAATTTCTACATTTTGTAGGTGCTTATATACCTGCGTTGGCAAAGATTTTCAATAGACATAGGAGAATTTAAAATATACCTTACCATCAAGTAAATTGACAACAGACAATTGCAGATTCACTGATTCAGCTCTAGTGCAGTTTAGGGCTACATGAATGAAATAAGAATGAAGTGAGGGGAAAAAGACAGTAGAGGCAGGCAGGTCATGGAGAATACGGATTATAAAGACTCATGACCTAAATCGACTCCTTTTGCGGCAGTACAGCCTACTAGTGCCTTTCCTACACCCTCGATTTCACGTCTCTAGAGACGCCAACTGCTAATGCGTGAGTCTGTGTACCTTTGCCCCCCCACCATCAGTCGAATCAATGAAACTAGTCCTCCAGGGCTGACCAAGCTGCAGAAAACATTAGAGGGAATAAGGGATCTCTCTCCCTCCTTCTCTCTCTCTCTCTCTCTCTCCTACTACTACCAGTCCCCTTTCTCTCCATGGTGAAAAGCACTTATGGCTCTCCAGAGAATAGCCACCCTTCACTTCTCTCACATTACCTCCACTAAGTGCACTAATATGCTCTGCACTCAGAATGGGTCATTCACTCTTTCCACATCACTGTAGTAGCTAGTCATAGCTTTGAGTGGCCATTGCCACATTTGATCTTTATACAGATTGAAATAATGATGTTAGTATATGAAGTAGTGGTGGACAATATGGCAAAAATATGATACTGAGATACAAGAAGACATCTTCATGCAATGCAATACTTATCACAGTATGTTTTTCAGAGGTTTGCTTACAAGATTGAAGAATATACCAGAAAAAAGTTGTTCCATAATGGTAAACTTTTCATAAGGAAACTATACAAGTTCAGTGATATCTGTGTTTACACAATTTAAAAAAAAAGGTAATAGTATTATGGACTAACATCCAGTCGGCTCCTTTCTGCTAGGCAGTCTCACTTTGGTTCGATTGATGTTTCTTTTTTTATTAAGCATACTGTTGATCAGTGTGCTAGAAGAACTGACAATACTTGCAATATCAGGTTTATGTTCAATATTTTTGTCATTTGTAATAAATAACACAGGGCTGATCTTACAGCAGAGCCCTTACTCTGAGATGCTTGATGAATCTTGGGCCAGGGGAATATATAGGTCTTAGTGGTCGTGTCCCTGGGAGTGTTCTACCAGGACAGCTGGTAATTTACCTTAACCCTTCTGTGATGTGTACATCTTGAATTGAATCTTCATTCAGTTTAATAATAAAACAAGCAGAGACGTTCTGTTTCCAATTTCTAAATTCTCTGACTGTAAACCTTCAATCCACATTCTGTTTGTAAGTAGAGGAGATATTTCAACTACATGAACCTGACAAGCCCCAGCCCAAAAAAGTAATTTAAATTTGCCACAAGAAGTGTTAGGATGTGTGCATGTCCCATTAGCAACAGCAAAATTGTTTTATCAATTTCATCATGTAGAACTGGAGCATTCTGTGTGCTACACTGTTTCCTATCACTGTATAAAATAAGCACAGGGCTTCCTTCCTCTTGAATGCACAGTGTTTTTTTTTTTTCCTGAGCAAGTGCACATGCACATTCAGACAGAAGTTGGTTCAATAAGAACTTTTTACTAATTTATTCAATTAGAGAAATGATGTATGTATTCCTGTAGACCTCTGAAGTCATGCATCATTCTGTAGTTGGCGTTGTGCCAATATTGGGAACTCTAGGTCTGAGTTGGTTTCTCTATGACAGAAATGAATGTTTTTTTCTTTTTTTTAAAAAAACTGCTGCTACTGCCTGTGGTAAACTAAAATGCTCCAAAGCCTATACATTTTGTCCTGTGTCACCGGATCCTCTGAATTACGAGGTTGTTTAACAGTCATAATATGAATAATGCTACATACATGCTACAAGCAAATTCCTGTGCGTTGAAATGACGTTGCATGAAAGTAAGTCTAATATTAGACTTCAACACTATTCAAAACTATACCAACACCATTTACTCAAACTCAGACTACTATTGCCACATCAATTTAATTACCACATTTATTATTGGTTTGTGTGGTGTATTTTGTTGAGGTTGCCAGTCTTCTGATGTCAGTTCATTGTGCAACAGTGTTAGCTTGCATATAATTATCGACATATACATATGTTGTTTTTCAGCTCCCAAACACAGCCCCTGAACACAGAATGCTCTGTCGTTTTTTGGCTCCTTGACAACCTTGTAATTAGAGCTGGGCGATATGGCCAAAAACGTTATCACGATAAACAAAATTCATATCGTTCGATATCGATACATTTAGCGATAAATGTCAAATCATGATTTCTTTCACGTTTGAAGGCTGATTTTGCTCCTGGGTGGTTAATTGTGGTTTTAAACTATCACTTATGGTCCGATCATGACAAACACTCGGCAAACATCGGTGGAACATTTCACTAATCTGTCACGGAAGAGTGGGAGAAAGTTTCTGAGTTTGCAATTTTTGTAATAGTCATGATTTAAGAAAGAACACAGATTATGTTTAGCTGTCTGGTGACGAGCGCTCGGCTACCCCGTTACAAATGCTAAACAAGTGGCCAACAACAGTGCTGAACTCTTTAGTTTCTCAACAACGTCAACTCGGCTCGGTAGGTCACTGCTGTCACTCCTACCACATCCATGTCAGAGCATATCACAGTATTCAGACACCAGCTAGCGACGACTGGGTTTCTCTATGCTATCGTAGTAGTTTAAGGGGTCAACCGCAGTATATCTGACGTTCGCTGTGTAAAAGCATTATCTGCAGTGTGAATCTCTCACACCAGTCACAGAGTCCTCATTTTAGCTATGTTTAAACTGAAAGCGGTGATTTTGTGTCTTGTTTGATCTACAGTATCATCAATTCACCGCGTTTTGCCGGAGCGCTGCTTCAAGTTAGCCAGCAGCTAAAAACAGCTAGCCTGGAGAGACAGCGCTCTCCCGCTCTCCAATGCCTCACAGCTTCCTCAGTTTACTTTCGAACATGAACCCACTTCTTTCTTTCACTTTCGTTGCTCGAGAATGCACTAATACTAAAATATGACGGTTTGGCGCTGTAACACGGCGCTGTAGACGTGATTTAACACCGCTAAAGTTGTTAGGATGTACAGAAAGAGGTGAGTTCACTGTAGGACAATACAGTTACACCACTGACCTCGTCACTCACACTCGGTCACAGGAGAATAGATCGCCGATAACATCCACTCAGACAGGGAATGTATAACTCCGCGTTTCAGTATATTTGGCGACCTTTTTTTTACTCGTGGCCCCCTCCCTCTCTAATCAAGTCGAAAAATTCGGAAGTGCGCCCTCTCCTGGCGACAGCAGAGTAGTGTCGCTTTCCTTGCAGGAGAAAGCGCCACCAGGGCTTTCGCTAAAACGTGGAAGTGTGAGAATGGTGTATTATATCGAACATTTATCGAACCTGTCTTATCGCTCTATCGAGGAAAAGTTATATCGCGATACTTATCGTTATTGTTTTATCGCCCAGCCTTACTTGTAATTCAGAGGCTCTGACAATGTTTGGAATAAAAATGTCTATATGGCAAATTGTAATGGCTTTGAAGCATTTTTGTTTGCCACAGTGGTGATTTTCAAAAATGCTGTTCATTTTTGTTGTAGAAAAACAGCTTAGACCTGGAGTTGCTAAAATGGCCATGAGGCCAACTACAAAATGACGCACTTTAGAACTCTTTTCATGTGTTTTGTTGTTCAAAAATAGTTTATGACGCAAACTGAATAAAAATCTCCATGTTCTTGTGTTTTTGGATCACATTCTTTACGTATCAAATAAAATAACACCACTGAGAAATTGAGTTATTAATGTAAAATAGTAGATAAAATTGCAGAAATTGATGTTAAAGGGTTAATATGGTTTCAATTTGATGAAAAGTTATTATTGTCTGTCTTGTTTTGCAGAAAGGAAAGTTTTTGATATTGTTTGATGTCCAAATAAAAGGAAATTCAACAAAAACTTGCAGACTCCATGCAAAATTTAAGCAATTAATTATATAATTATGTAATTGTATATAAATAATTATATAATGTTATTTAATGTGTAGAAGAACAGCAATAATAAACCTAGACTAGAAGTGAACTCTTAGGTCTACTGAGGGCTTGACTTTCTTGACTAGGGCTTAATTGTGACATTAATGACAAGTATAAATGATTTAGAAGTGCCAGTCTTATGCAGTTGCCCTTTTTACTACTCTTCCTCTCTCACTCTCTTTCACTTCCTTTCTTAAATTTTTCATTCCATACTTTTTAATTCTTCTCTCTCTTTTTTTTCTCTCCTCTTCAGTCTCTTTCTTTTTCTGCTCAACTCCTTGCTGGAGTGCATTACCTACTATATGGAGCAATTCTACTTCTTGCCCTAAGATTAGGCTACTACAGTCATCAGTGTCTGACTGCAGCCTCTTTCTTCTTTGTCCACAGCCTGAGTAAGAAGTGCCAGCGATTAGAACCATGCTGAAAGGGGGCACCGCCAAGGCGGCGCTGCCCAAGACGGCAGCCCCCGAGCGGATGCGGCTGATTTCTTCTCTTCCACACACCTCCACCTCCAGCAGCACTTCCACAGGCATGAAGATTTCACGCTCCTCCAGCACCATCGCATCTGACCTGCGCCTCAGCCGGGTAAGAACTCCCAGAGATATATCAAGAGTGGGCATATAAATCTATGATTTCAAAGCAATTTGATTCAAGAATACAATTTATTGCGTCATGAAGTCTCACATTTCACTACAAGTCAGTTCAATTAGATTATTTTGTTATGATTCAGAATAACTTAAAGCCTAGTCTGATTCTTAAAGTCTCTCATTTAGTCTCTTATTATCCATTGATGGTGAATCAGTAAGTGAGGCCGTGATCAACGAGAGAGAAAACTAGAAAGGAAATAGGCAGGACCAGGAAGAAAAGAATGAGGAAAATGCAGAAATAAAGAAAACTAAGGAGTGAAATAACAAAGAGGGAGTAGGGAGGAAGTGCTTTGCGCAGAGAAAAAGGGAATAATATTATGAAACGCAACTGTGGACATGGTACAAAATAAAACAGAAAGGAACGTTGCCAGTGCCACAGTCATTTTAATTGTTTGTTGAACTGAACTATGGAAAAGTATACAGAGGGTATTGTAAGCTCTTATAAAAGCAGTAAAAGTCAGCAAATGGCATGAAAGCTGACATTGGCAGCAGAGAGCAGGATAGAGCACAATGTATAGAGATGAGTGAATCCAAGGTCGCCTTATGCACTGTGCGAGAGCCTTGTTAGCTTGTGAGCTATAAAAAACACCACAAGTTCTCATAAAGTCTGCAGGACTGTATTTTTCCATACCTACAAAGTCCAGGCTTGGATGTTGGTTGCATTTTCTGCTTCTCATGATCCAAGTAATCCCAAACACATTCGCCGATGTTTTATCTGAATGCTGTGGTAGTCAGTCCATTGTTCTGAGAACTCTAGCAGCTTCTCTGTTCAGTTTGCGTTTTTTTTTTTTTTTTTTTGTGTATTTCCTTTTTTCGGTTATGAGAGTTCCTGTCCTACCTAGTCTTACACAGTTGTTATGATTTTCTCTACACGTTTTAATAATTGTTGAAATCTTATTTTGGAAGCTGTTTTTTCCACTTATTTTCTTTTGGTTTTTTCTTATTTATATATGTGGATGATCTTATATCTAATCTCCCCAGAAATATCTCCTGAAAAATAAAGAACTTGTACTTAATGACCATTTTGAATTGAAGTGAATAAAAAGTGGTATCTGACTTTTGCACAGTACTCTATGTTTTAAGCCTGCTGGGATTAGGCAACAAAATCATTGATGGAAAAATTAGTTTCATTGTCTTTTAATTAAAAAGTGATCTAATATATCCTAAAATATTCACGATACACACACAGCCATTCTGACAGATTGCAGTACAACACGGGAAGTGTAGGGGGCAAAATGACTTGTTGACCTGTTGTATTTCATTTCACCATAAAAATTGAACTTGCTTATTGCACATATATAATTTTGAATGGCAGGAAAAGCAGAGGAACGGAAGAGGGCATATTAAATTAACTGACTGATTAATTTAATAATAGGTGATAGACTAATCCAGGGTTGTACAGCTGGGGTCATGGAGGGCTAGTATCCAGCACAGTTTGGTGGCTCCTCCACTCAAAATCATCCTCTAAACCTGGTAATTAACAAATGAGTTTATTAGAGCAGGAAAATCAACTGACTGTGCTGGACGTGGCCCTCCAGGCCCAGAGTTGTCCATCCCTAACTTAATCTATTATATAATAAGCCCTACTGTATTATAGTTTATAATAGGACAAAATGTCTCGGTGAATGCTCAGCATAATCCTGTTAAAGATGGAGCTGCTCACTTTCAACAAAAAACTATTAAACATTCTTGTGATTCATCAGAACACTCAGACATCAGACATTGGATATGCCTCAGATTGATCTTGGTGCTGACACAGCAGAGAGTAGAAATGTCTGTGGTTTGTTGAGCACTCATTTTTCAAGCAGCACAGCTGCAGCTATGAACACTCATTTTTGATGCAGTATTCATCTGTGTAAATGAAATGCACTACATTACTGCCTTCTGTGATATCACATTGCAGAGCCCATACAATGCTGTAATTGTGTGAAGTCATAAGATATGTTTGTGACTGTGTGTGTGTGTGATGTGTGTGTGTATGCAGCTGAAGCGGGCAAGCAGCGATGATGCGTTGGCTAAGCCTGTTCTGGGACCAGCCGCTGCAGCATCTCGTATGAAGAAGACTGTCACTACTGGAGCCATCTCAGAACTGGCTGACGGCAGGCCACGCAGCCTGACAGGTAGACAGAAGAGCTTACAACAGCATCAGTTTAACTCACAGACGCTCACATGCATACAGTACACATACACACACAGAGAAATGTACATATCGTTATTGTCAGATCAAAACCTCGTCTCCTAAATGGTAACTTTACAGGAGAAGGAGAAAACATACTTTACTTTTAATGTAAGTCAATGGAACCAGACTTTTTTTTTAAGTAAGTTTGGATCATTTCTTTTGGTCCATTTATCATGAAATTTACACACAATGTACAGGTACTTACATTGTGATAAAAGATAAAAATGGAGATACAAGGTTTTGTTCTGATAGCAGCAATATGCAGTTGTATGCAAAACTTTGGGCACCCTGGTGAATTTCTTTTTATTTTTTAAGTAAAAATAAGTTAACACAGAGAACATACTTCTGCATATTTAAATGCACAATTACTGTTTATTTGTTGGGTTTAACATGTTTAGGAAAAAAAATAATAAAATGTGGCCTTACAAACGTAATGGCACATTTTGTATTTTGTTTTTTTTTTTTTCAAACTGAGCAAATAAATAGAAGTTATGCAATAAAATTTGTAAAAATGTAAGAAGTAACTGTGTTCTGAATACTGTCTATACAAAATGTAACTGGGACTAAATACAGACGTTAATTTTTGTATTCTGAGTGTGTGTTCCAAATACTTGTATTCCATTACATCCCAACCCTGGTGGTGTCCCAGAACACTTTTACAGAGTACGATAGCACAACTACAACAGTGTCCCATATCAAAAGCAAATATCTGCAAACAATAGGACAGCCAGCTGTTTAGTCTGTCTTCACCGAGAGCAATTGTGATGCAGCGTAGTTTGAGAAGAAAATTATACAGGAGGACATGGTGGATGGTGAAAACATTTGAGAGCTGCTAAGGTACACTGTCATTATGTATTCCAGTTATTTAGTCAACTTTTTGTTTTCAATCATATAATCACAAACATGTTATAGTTGTCAGCCCCTCAGAAAAAACTGGGTTCCACGATCCATACAAGGAACCCTTGTGTGCAGAATTGTGTTGATTTGTGTGCTTATAATTGCATATATCAAGTATTTTACAACAGCTTTAATGGCTCAACGAAAAAGATTTTGAAGCCATAATTGATATTTTATTACGTCGCATGCTGATTACAGACACCTACTGGTTAACAATTAAACACTGTCCAGTGACAGTCAGATATCGGTCAGAGAATTTGGCAAAATTTGCATCTCTAATCTTGTAATTGTTTCTAAAATACCTTTTAATAGTACATCTAAAACTACCTTTCGATGTCTTGTTGATAATATTTAAATCTATGTTATGTAAGTTATTATTGTGTATTAAACAACAAAAAGGATTATGACAAGTGATTCCAAACTTTTGAACAGAATTGTGTCTACAGAACAGATCGAGGCATGCATGTCCACATGCTGTAGGCTTTCATCAAAAGCCAAATGCAGGATTCTCAAACATACAGAACCCCACACCACATCATTTCCTTCCTTTCCGCTGTGGTTAAAACATGCTCTTTTTGACCCTGAGTTCAGCTATATAAATATCACAGTCTCTGACAGTCTCTGTGAATAGGCCACTAAGTGATCATAACTTTTACACTGTCATCTGCACCAGTACAGTTTCACTGTGGAATTCAGTGGAAGGAATTTGATTAGTTGCATGCACCATAAACCCAAGAAAATAGAGTTGACTGACAGCTGTAGATCATACCTCTGTGTCTGACGTACATTTGAAATATACTTCCCCTTCCCTCAAATGGAATGATAGTTTGGATCATGATGTATTGTTGGTAATACAATATATAGGCTATAGTTTGTTGTAGCTAAAAAAGGCGGCTTGCTTTTCCATGTTTTTTGCTCTGCATTACCGTTTAATGTAACGTCATATGTGTTTTGTCCAGTAGAGGGCAGCAAAGCAGTGAAAAAGGAAGCCTACTCTCAGTTCTCAACTTCTCAGTTTTTTATACTTATTTTGTAAGATTTACTTCAAGTTCTTGTTTTTGTAATGTTTATTATTGATTTATCAGGGACTTTGTTTACATCTCAGTGGTTGGACTATCCAGAAATCTTGAAAAATCAGTGTAGTTCACCTTTAATTAGCATGAAGTAAATGTGCCAGTGTTAGCCAACTGGCTCCTTTTCAACTGTAGTCCAAGAGAACTAGGGGAGAGCGAATAATATTATATCATGATACTTCAAGACATTTTCACAATACACAATATGCCTCACAATATTTTGGAACAGACAAAGTGGAACACAGTGCCAAAATACTATAATAATAATAATGATAATAATAATGATAATAACATCTACAGTGACATTATTCAGCATTTTACAAACTGCACTGCACTAAATCCAGTTAAACTGGCCTAATAATGCTCAATCTTTTAATGAAACACTGACAATATCCAATATCCTCAGAAAAGCATATTTTGACATAATTTATCATAATTGTCTTAATATAAATATATAATATCTTACGATAAATATCTTCATATTGCCCAGGCTGAGAACTGAGATTATAGGCCAGACACAATGAGGCAAAAAATCTAAAAACAATGTGATATACACACTTCACAAAAACAAATCATAATTTATAAATAAATAAATAAATAAATGAGTGGCATCAGTTTACTTGCAAGCAAGTATACAGAATAAACCTTAGTGGTTTTACTTTGTAAATGTATATTAGCAATGTATTCCAAAAGTGCTGCTATCACTATGGAAGCTTTGTAAGTGGAATAACACAAACACCACTTAGGACAGGATTCATAACCCAGTCACTTTGGGAGTTCTGCTTAATAAACTCTTTACGCTGGGGGTTGAGCTGTTTGGTGTTTTAGGGTTTATCATTCGTTATATGATAAACTCTCTATCATGGGATGATGTCACACGAGTGTTCATTTTTATAAGGGCATATTTCCCACACTTAGTGATACCTCACTAACATGTTTTTAATCCAAATATTGTAGTTGGCAAAGCGTTTGTTGAGTCTGATTAATACCATGCTACCTTTCAAAGCTCTGATAACTTTCTCCTGTTGTTTCTGTGTGTATTCTGGAATGACCCTGTATTTTACAAGCTCATACTAAACCTTTCCCATGACCATTAAAACTCGAAAACACAATGAAAATTCAGTTCATCACCACTAAAGGGCACTGTATCCTCATTATCCAGCCGGACAACCACTGTCTGTACTACAGCTGTTTGAAGATTTGCAATGTATTTGTGTTGTTTTTTTCTTAGAAGTCTCTTTGACCCTGCTGTCCAGTAAGGATGTGTGGGATTATTTGTTTGTCTTTGAGCATTTCAGCGTGGAAGACATGACTTTGTTTTTAGTATTAGCTCATAGAAAGAAAAAGGACATGAAGGCTTTGATCATTGTTTACTTTTATTAGCATTGTTCTCTGAGGAGAATCTCTTCATGCTTACAGAGTGCATTGTTTTAAAATGAGAGAGAAAGAACGTTTTACAGTTTGTATATTTGCTGCATGTTGTGTTATGACAGTCAGGGTTCAGATTCAGGCCACAGCAGGGCGATGAGCAGGAGGACTCCAGAAGTTTTATTTTTGTCTGAGCGGGTCACAGTGCTGGAACAACGCTCACAGGAGTGACCATTCCATTACAGTGACACGCAAACAGTATGAAGCCCTGTGTTCATCAGATCTCTGCGAGATCAAGGCTTTACTTGGGCTTCTTCGATATACCAATTTTGTAAGGAACAATCTATATATTTACTAAATTCTTACATAGCAAAATGTGCAACATGAAAAATAACAGCTCAGGTCAATATAAACAGAGATTACAAACTTGTAAACAAATTTATAAATGATTTGCCTTATTCATTCATAATAAGTACTATTTTATTATAGAGAAAACAATTGCAGAAATCCTGTTTGTAAAACAGGCCAAACAGAAATCAGATGCTTGCCCTGTGCTCTGAACTACAGCTGTAGCCTAGAGAGAGCCTTGCCTAATGATGCATACATAGAGATTGCAACATATGAAAGTGGCTCAGATCAGATTTGAAAAGATCTGCTGGGTGTCTGTGCATCTTCTCATAGTTCTAAGAAAAATCAGACATGTGTCACAATAAGGCAAAAAAATCAGATTTGTGTTACTTTAGCCTGGTAATGTGAACGTAGCCAAAATAATGCAGTCCAAGTTTTAATACTCGTACAGTAAGGTGTTTTTAGTATATTGCACAGCATCACAATCACAGTAGCAATATAATCACAGCACTAGTGTTTTGTCCATATTGTGCAGCCCTAGTTGAAACTGTATTTTTTAATTTGGTGTATTTGATATGGTAAGCTTGTTATGTTTGCATTGTGTGTGTGATTTGAACTCTGTTGATATTATTACTCATCTTGTCAGCATCCGTGTTCTGTTGTTTTTTGTGAGGATGAGGGCTTTGTCGCTTAATGTTCAGTTATTAACATTAGGGCTAGTTTTTCAGTCACTACTATGAGTTACTTACTGACTTTTACAGACTAATTAATATGAGAATTTTGCAAAGTTTATTTATATGCACCTTTCTTACACTGTAGTCATTCAAATTGCTTAACAAATAAGAAAAACTACAAAAATAATTCAAATTAATATTTAAAAAGATGTGGGAGGATAGGAATTAAAACATGACTATAAACAATAGATTTAAAAGAGTTAAATAAAGAAGAAGACTTTATTACACATTAAACTAAAAACCAAAATAAAGAATAGGATGAACAGCTTAAGCCAGTAATTAAAATGACATAGAATGTTTTTTTGAAGTAAATTATGTTACATTGACATTAGGGGCCTTTCAATAAAGTGATGGACAATTGTTCCATTTATAACACTGTTATAAGGCATCATTCCTGAATAATGGAACTTATAAGTTAAGAACATATCAGTTGTTTATATTTCTACTCAAGTTAAAAAAGCAAAGTATAGTTTCTATTAAGGACAATGTGCTGCAGACACAAACAGCTAACTCAGCTAACT